CAGGAAGACCAGTTGATAGAGAAGGAGAGAATCCATGCTAGAGTAGAAAGCAAAAATTCAAGGATAGCCAGGGAGCTGGGCATTTGTCTGATGCAACCTAATCCTCCAAAGTCATGTTCTTTTTTATTGCAATAACTTTTTTTTTTAACCTACTTATGGGTCCTAGTTGCTATTTAGGAATCTAGAGATGAGCTGGGCTAATATAAAATGAAATGTTGTTTTATCTACGCTGTGCCAAGGAGTTAAATGGCTAATCAAATTATAGACTACATCCTGGTACTATGAATTCTGGGACTGAACTCTGTAGCCATACTGACCTTGTTTTTGTATGGAATTGGAAATTGGAATATGGAATTATACAATATTGTATTTGAAAAAGTGGACTGACAATTCTGACTTAGAAACCTCTGGACTATATGGGGATTTTTTTTTAGATAATTTTTTTTTTTATAATAGGACTTGCTATTGGGAGAGACATTGGAGAGCAGGTCTTAGAATCAGGAAGGACCAACTCTGACACACACAAGCTATGTGACCCTGGGCAAGTCACTTAACATCTCAGTTCCCCAGGAAACTATTTAATTATAATACATATGCATATAGTGTTCATAATATGACAGGCATTGTGTTAATCACTTTATAACTATTATCTCATTTGATCCTCACAATAACCCTGTCAGGTGCTATTATTATCATCCCCATTTTACAGATGAGGAAACTGAAGCAAAAAGAAGTTAAGTGACTTGCCTAGGGTCACACAGCCAAGCATTATCTAAGGCCAGATTTAAACTCATATCTTTTTGACTTAAGGCACAGTGCTCTATCTCCTGTGTCATTTAGCACCTCCAAGTAGTTTATCTCTAGGAGCTCCATAGATTGATGAAATCACAGTTCCCTTGCCTCCTTCCCCCCAAAAAATTTGTTTTCTATGTCCAATCATTGCATGATTTATATTACTATGTGTACTCCCTCCCCTGCTGCAAATTGTATTTCCTCTCTATTTTAGTAGAAAGTCTTCATTACTGAAATAATTCATCACCTGTTGACCAACTAGCATCTCTGCACTTGTTTAGGCTGGTCCTCAGATGATAGACATTCAGTTAATTGCCAAAGCTATCCTGGGCTTTCTAGCTTGTTAGGACCTGTGATGGTTCATGTTTTGCTGACATAACCTTCAGTATCTGGGGTCCTCCCCCCCCCACACACACATATATACTACAATGAGGTATCAATATAGGAAACTGGTGGAAGTTTTAATCTATTATATTAACTTAATCATGTTTGTGATCTGGAGCTACTAATATATTTATTCGATTCCTTAGTGACTTATTTAAGAAATTTGATAGGAACTGATCTTGCAAAAATTATTTTATTACATTTTCTCTCATACTGCCCATGGAGACAAAATTGAATTAGGCTCATGTCACAAGTGAAATTAGGTGAGTAATCTTGGTTCCATGCCATTTAGTTAAAAGAATTATGAACATTTTAAGACATAAATAGACTTTTTTTAGAGGGATAATAAAGTCCCTCTGAGATCTCAGCTATTCAGAGCATTGCTACTGTTTGCCTCTGAACAGGGGTTTGTAATAGACCTTTAGTACAAGTTCATTTTGTGATTTTACAAAATAAACCAAGTCCAATCTCCTTAGCAAAGATACTGTGTTAGTAAGGTTTTTGGCATAAAGTGGAAAGGGCAAATAGTCTTGGAGAAAGGAGACCTGGGTTCAAGTCCTGATGCTTAGTAGTTTTTACCATGGGAAAAAAGTCACCCTTTCTGAGCCTCAATTTCCTTATCTGTAAAATGAGGACAATATTACTTGAAATACTATGCAACTTGTCAGAAAAGGGCTCCATTAACCTTGATGCACTATATCTGTATGAGTTATTATTATTTCCATAGCACTTCTAACTCCTCAAAATACTTTAATCCGTTGTCTCACTTTAAAATATTATTAAATTATTAACCTAATATCATATATCTAGTTAAAGCATAGGAGGACTAAACTCTAGATTTTGACTCTGGCTCTCAACTTCTTTTCCACTAACACACATTGCTTTACTTGATACTTTGACTTGGGTCTATTTTTTTATGGGCACATTTAAAAAATTCTGAACTTAACCAACACACAAAAAAAAATAGTGTTTTCTATACAAAGTAGAGCACAAAAAGAGAATATAATGCTTTTTTAAAGGATATAACAAATTCAACTCATTACTTCCAAAACTGTTCTGCTTGTCTATGATTTTTTTCTGAACTACCTTCTGTACTCCTCTTTGCACTTACTAAAATGTTTCAATGTTATGACAAACAGGCAAATTTCAGAAAAAACTTGGAAAGACTTACATGAACTGATGCAAAGTGAAGTGAGCAGAACCAGAAGAACATTGTATACAGTAACAGCAACATTGTGTGTTGATCAACTATGATTGACTTAGCTGTTCTCAGCAATACAACGATCCAAGATAATTTTAAAAACAAAACTCATGATGGAAATGCTATCCACATCCAGAGAAAGAGCTAGTGGAGTCTGACTGCAAATAAAAACATACTATTTTCACTTTTTTTGGTGTTTTTTTTTCCTTTTGTTCTGTTTCTTCTTTCACAACATGACTAATATGGAAATATATTTTACATCATTGCACATTTATAACCTATATTAAATTGTTTACCATCTTAGGGAGAAGGGAGAAAATGTGGAACTCAAAATTTTATTTAAAAAAAAAAGAATGTTAAAAAAATAAAATGTTTTGGTGTTGGCCCAGATCCAGTGCATAGTTGACCATCAATAAATATTTGTTGAATTAAGTTTGAGTGAAGCTCATCAGCTTTTGAAAATTTATCCTATTCCTCTGTCTATTCAGTTGTCAAGTTGTACTAATCATTGTCATTTATTCTTAATTGATATCCTCATTATCACTACCATCAATCAAACATAAACCAAGCACTTACATGGTACTAAGTACTTAACAGTGTCAAATTTGGATGACAGATCTTATTTTATTCTTTAAAAAGAAATTGTATATGGGAAAATATTTTGTCCTGTAAGTTAAAAATAATGTATGATAAAAGGCACATCTATATGACCAAACTTTATCTCTGAACTTGGTTGTGAATTGGGAATTTCTTTTTCAGTTTTATATTTAGTTGACTGGTGCTCAACAGCCCTTGTTGTGTTCTTTCTTAGCTTATTGATTCTTTATCAGAGAAATATGTAATAAGAAGAAAATATGGGTTGGCAAGGATGAGGAATGACAGATGTACAGCCGTAGTGTACCACTGGTATCCTCTCTATCTGAGGAAAAAGTAAGAAAGAAAACAGCAAGAATACACACATTGGGTGGATTCTCTATGCCAAATTCATGGAAGGATATGGAAAAAAACACATCTAGAGTGGACAAGCATAGGTGAGTTGGGATCTTTATATGAAAGGAACATCCAGACCAATGAGGTCATAGATTCATTTGAGTATTGAGTATTTATTATTTATGTTGAGAAAAACTAATCATAATATAAAATAGCAGCAAAATAAAATGGAGAATTTACAGAAAAAAATCATACCTTAAGTCTGTGTTAAGCTTCTATTCCTTAATACTTGACAGAAAATTATTTTTAAAATAATTTTGATCCCAAACTCTAACCTAGTAGATTTCATTTTACCAGGTCAGATGTTAGGTTTTAAAGTACTCCCACCCAACCTCTGTATGGAACATAAACCTAGAGGTGAACTTAGCTGCCCATGATTCTGATAAATTGTTCTAGATTAAAATCTCTTCCTGCCTTTTAGCTTTGCTATATATACTGCACTGGGGAGGTGTACATGGTGATCACCAGCATTCAGGCGTCAACTACCTCTCAGTTTCCATACTTGCCTGAATGACTCTCTTATACCTTCTCCCCTCTCCCTTGAAATAGCTTCCCAGAATATAATCTCACTTCAATATAATCTCATTACAGGAATAATCTTACTAATCTTTGCTCTCTCTCTCCATTCTGCTGTGCTCAGTAACAAGACATAGATTGGTTGTGATTTAAGTTTGTGTAAGGAGTTCCTTTCACTGTTGAAATTACTGATTTTCACATATCTTTCATATAAATGTATGTCTATATGTGCCTGTGTGCATGTGTGTGTGTGTGTGTTATGTATTATCTTACCTTCACCTAGGATCACCTTTCAATATTGTCTTTGGGGGCTGTTTTATCACATTCTAAAGGACATTTCTCAGGATATGCCAAAGCTTTGCTCTTATAGTGTTTAACAACATTTACAATATAATGCATTAATTATAATTTTAAACTTCCATACTATAGTTTTCTTGTGTTTGTTCTACTTTTGTGCAAAGTGGGAGAGCTAATTCTCATTTTCTGCCTTCTTTTTCTGAGGCTGAATTTAAAAGCAACCTCAAAACATTTCTCCTTCCCCACAGAAACAGAGCTTCCACAGATACTCTATCCCTGCCTCCCCACTGTAATTATGTAATTAACTTCCCTCTTCCCCTATTTTAATATCATTGCTTGAATATACTTAGATGTGCTTACCTTTGGCCTGTATATGGTATAAGTCTCATACAGTCAATTTTTTTATTTAACATTTTTACATTGTTGTTTTTGTTCTCTGTATTTTCAATACGGCCCAAGATTATACTGCCTTAGAGAATGGAGTTTGCATTTTTGTAGTGCTCATGGTACAGTGTTTAATATTGTGCCTCTTCATATTAGGCACTTAATAAGTATTTTTGATGATGAAGTTGAATGATTCTAGCCTTGTATTCTTCTACTTAATTATTGCCTGCTCCTCTCCTCTGAAATTTTTTCTAATTCTATGAGTATTTGATTTGGGGAATCCAGGATTATTCTTTAAGGAATGTTCTTCAGGGTATTTGCAAATGTAGCTTTATGTAGTAAGTTGCAGAACAGAGAATCTAATCTTTTTTTTCCTTGTAATGGTGTTCAAATATATTATTTTTATTGATTACATTTCCTTTTCCCCCCCACCCAGGGTGAAGAGGGACAAAAGGGAGATCCAGGACTGGATGGCATTCATGGAAAAGATGTAAGTCTAACTCCATTTATTTTTAATCATGTAATCTATTTACATTGATATTTGATATGCAGCTTATACCTTTGAACTTTGATGATCCGTAGATCATAAGATTATAGATTGAATACTAGAAAGGCATGAGAGGCTTTCTCATTTAGTCTGTTCTCTATTTTATTGATGAGGAAGCCCAGAGAAATTAAATACCTTGCTCATGGTCACACAAGTAAAATGGCAGACCCAAGTTATCTGATTCTGAGTCCAGTGCTCTTAACACTATGAATCAATTGTCACAAGATAAATCTAAAGTGCATGAGGGCAATTATCCACATAACTCAGCAAAAGTCCCACTTTGGTCACAGAATTACTTCACACTTATTGGTGTGTTAACTTTGGATGTTAAGACTTGAAGTAAACATTGCATAGGTGTAATGGCCAGTATGATATTCTATTTTGAACTAATGACTTTGAAAGCCCAGAGTTAAAATAAAACTAATATTTTTTTAACAATTAGAAAGCACACAATATAGCAAAGCTTTGGTCCACTGACCACATATTATTATGCAACACAAAAAATAGGTTTTCTTTATAGCCCCTGGTTTTACTTATAAGTAAATTATTATTATTTTTTAATGTTTATTAAAACTGGTGACTTTCAAGAGTAGAAAAGTTTATTATACTTGTAAGAAGTGCAATGAGGTAAAATGCAAAGAGCGTTGGCTACTTTGGAATGTGGGACCCCAACTTCAAAATCCTGCCTTGTCCGTTACTACCTGTGTGACCCTAGGCAAGATACAGTTAGCTGAAAACAAGCATTTATTAAACTCCTGCTGTTAATCAGGCACCATGGTCATTGCTGGGAATACAAAGACAAAACTACAATTGTTCTTGCTCTTATTAGTGATCTCTAAGGAGGGAGACAACATTTGTTTTACACATAGATATATGGATATACACATAAATACAATGCCCCCAGGTAAATTGATGTAGGACCCTGCTGTGAACCTTTAGAGCAAGAGGAGTCTAAAAGTAAGGGTTTTTTTGTTTTGTTGGCATTTGGGGTTAAGTGACTTGCCCAGAGTCACACAGCTAGGAAGTATTATGTGCCTGAGGTCGAATTTAAACTCAGGTCCTCCTGACTGTAGGGCCAGTGCTCTATTCACTGCGCCACCTAGCTGCTCCTAAAAGTAGTGTTTTGAGACTTTGGAGAGTAGCTTCCGATGCCCCATGAATCCTCCTCCCTGACTGCTTTGTTAACTTTATTACTGGTGGGGTTAACGTGTGTTTTCATTTTCTATACCTCCTTGAGAGATTTTTTTCAAAAATTATTTATTTTTTTCTGAACTTAAGGAATAAATAGCAAGCATTTCCATAATATACTAGAATAGAGAAAAAGATGATTGTACATAAAACTGAAAATCTATTATGTACAACTTGCTGTTCCTTTCAAATATATAATAAAATTATCATGTAACTTTCTTATTTTTCCCTTTTTTTCTTTCCTCCTCCCCGCCACCCCAGAGATGGCTTCTCCTTGAGAGTTATTTCCACCTGAGGATACTGGAATATGATTTTAACAAAAGGACAGTTTGTTTAAACCCTCCTGTTCTGAGTGAATCCATTGTATCAGATGCTGGAGAGTGACCTTGACAACTAGATATACAGATCTGAGAGCCATCTGCATTGAAATGATAATTGAATTCATGAAAGGGAAAAGAGAAGAAGGCACAGGACAGGGTATTAGGTTATATCCACAGTTAGTGGGCATTAATCCTGCAAAGGAGACTGAGAAGCAGTAGGTATCTGAGTCTTGGTTTACTCATTCATAAAAAGAGATCTTTAAGATTTCTTCTGTCTTTGCATCTACCATTCTGTGAGTCTAAGGCACTGTTCTATAATGTGACTAAACTGAAACCAATGTCTGTTCTGAGGAAAGAAGAATAAGAAAAAGATAGCTTACAAGTTCACAAAGGCAAAATGGTACAGAGGAAAGGGTATAGGATTTGAAATCACAGGACCTGTGGTTCACTTCCTCACACTGACAATGATAGCTTTTGGAATCTTGGGTAAATCACTTAACCTCAGTTTCCCCATCTCTGACATGACTACATAGAGTATGGTCATGTAAGCATTCCAAGGTGATCAAGAGAAGCTTTCCCCCTTCTCTCTGTCCCCATCTCTGTTTCTATCTTTCCTCTGTAACTGAAGCCTTCCCAGAAAAACTTTTGCTCACTACATCTTTAGTTTAATGCTTAACATCCAAGGACATCTATAAAATGGGGGTGGGCTAGATGACTTCTAAGATTCCTTCTCATTCCAAAGCTATGAATGTGTAAAATATGGGGGAATGAAATTTTAAGAGTATTATTAAAGAAGAAATAAGAGTCAGGAGATAAGGAGCTAGGAACAATTACATAAATTTAGCAGTTAGGGTAGAATTCCATTGGTATTTTGGAGAGATAGTGTTATGTCATGAAACATTAGAGGTTTCAGGATATCCTTTAGAACTGTGGTTCTTAATCTTGTGTATGTATACACATGCTCACATGTGAGTGAGGGACCCCTTTGGCAATCTGGTGAAACTTAAGGACCTTTTTGGAATAAATGCATAAGATAAACATACAGGATTACAAAGGAAAACAACTATATTGAAATACAGTGATCAAAATAAAATACAAGTTCATAAACCATAGCTTAATAACTCCTGATTTAGAATATATCAATCAAGAAGTATTTGGGGCAGGAGGAGAGAGGTGTTGCTATGTTCTTCTATGTGCTATCAGATAAAATAAGTACAAGGTGTGTACCTGCTATCAAATTAGACATTTTCCCCATATTTGCTAGAGAGACAGCATGAAAAAAGGGAGTGAGAGCTGGACCAGTTTATATGAAAGCAAAGGCCTGTGTGTCAGCCAGAGGCATTGGGGAAAACTACTCCTTAATAAGTTTGGGTGCTGAGAATAACATGTTAAATAATGAGAGTCAGTTCGATGCAAAGCTTTATTGCAAGCAGTGGAGAACAGGAAGAAGGGGAGAGAGGAAAAGGGAACTTGACGTACAACTTGGGCGTATACACTAACAGAATGGAACTCATGACAGCAATGCTGCACTGGGGAGCCCAGAGACATGTGACCATTCAGCTGGAAGTGGGTCCTCCAAAGTGCCCTTCTGAGGGTGGAGTTCTTGTACTGATTCTGGGCACCCCCCCTGGAGTTGACTGAGTTGCATATCAGGAGTCAGGACAAAATATTATTTTGGGAAGCTTATTATCAGGGAGAGGAAACAAGCTGGTGGTAGTCAAAATATTATTATGGGATTTGTTATCAGGGAGAAAAAATAAGCTGGTGGTAGACAAAATGTTGTGTGGGGGACACAGCTGTACTAACCTTTGAAAAACATTACTGTTAGTATTTTTCCATGAGAACATTGTATAGGCTTACAGCATCACTTAAGGGGAAATTGTCGTGGTGGTGTCAAGATCATCAGGCCTAATCTTATAATAAAGGATCTTCACTGATCAACCCATACATGGATGTTACCCTCCCCTAGTAACATATTGGACAAAAGTGAATCCAGCCACTATTTAAATAGCTTCAATGTGGGGGAACCTACTACTTCTGGAGGCATGCTTCTTTTGTACAATGCAAATTATTTTGAAGTTTTTCATGATATCAAGTCTACATTTGTCTCTTTGTAACTTCTAGCCATTGCTCCCAGGCCCACCCTCTGGGACCAAACAAAACATATCTTCCACATCACATCCCTTTAAAGCTTAGAAGACAACTGTTCCTTCCAAGTATTTTCTTCTCTAAGCTTATATCCCCAGCTGTTTCAAGAAAAACTCTTGGGACATGTATGCAAGGCCTTTTACCGTTTTGGTTACCCTCTTCTAGAAACTCTTCATCTTATCAATATCTTTTTTCCCCTTAGGCAATTGGGGTTAAGTGACTTGCCCAGGGTCACATAGCTAGTAAGTGTCACGTGTTTGGTCTGAGACCAGATTTGAACTCAAGTCTTCCTGACTTCAGGGCTGGTGCTCTATCCACTGTGCCACCTAGCTGCCCTGAATCTTATCAATATCTTTAAACTCTGATATCCAGAATTAAATATGTTTCAGTTGTGGTCTCACAAGGGCGAAATACAGAGGGATGCCATCCCTTTTCTTCCTGGAAGCTATGCCTCTACAATGTATCCCAAGATCACATAAGCTTTTTTGATTGTCACATCATACTGCTGACTCATGTTGAGCTTGCAACCCACTGAAACACCCAGCTCTTTCTCAAAGAAACCACTATTTAAACCTACCTTTCCTATGGTGTACTTCTGAGATGGTTTCCAAGTGTAAGATTTCACGTTTACCCATATTGGGTATTATATTAATATATTCATCCCAGGGAAGTTGCCTATAAAGATCTTTTTAGATACTAACTCTGCCATCCAATGTATCAGTTATCTCTCCCAGCTTTATGTCATCTGAAAATATGCTGAATATTTTACCATTCATGAAATTGTCAAACATTACTAAGGAAAGCACAAATGCCTGGGACACTGCACTGGAGACCTATTACCAGATCAACACTGAATTATTTTAAATTTTATTTTATTTTCAATACATTGAATTTTTAATAGCTATTCTTTGAGTTCCTGCCAGTCAATTGGGTCAAAATCCACCTAATTATAATACTGTCTATCCTTTCATTTCCTATTTATCCTATATCTCTACATCTCTTCAAGAAAAATACTTCATCAAATACCCTGCTAAAATCTAAGTAATACAGGGGCAGCGAGGTGGCTCACTGGATAGAGCTCCAGTCTTGGAGTCAGGAGGGCCTGAGTTAAAATCAGGCCTCAGACACTTGACACTTACTAGCTATGTGATCTTGGGCAAGTCACTTAACCCCAATTGCCTAGCCAAAAAAAAAAATCTAGGTAATATCTATGCCATTTCCTTGTTCTACTACTTAACAGTAATAATACTGTTAAGAGAAGATATAAGCTTAGTGTAGCATGACCTG